TATACTTTCTTTTGGAACTCTGAATTCGCTAACTGAGCGTACAAAGTGACATAGATAGACTCATATGAAATTTATGTGACTCTTTCATTATTAAAACTTATTTTGGCAAATATTGCATGCAAAAAGCAAGTAATTTTAGTCTGTGCCTTTTAGAAAAAAATATATAAAAAACACGAATCACCGAATCACCACAGAATCACGGAATCGTTGAAATTAATGGAAGTTTTTAGTGAATTCTATTCAATATTGTGTAATTTGCGATAGTTCAATTAAAAAACCCTGCTAGTATTGGATATGTATTACTTAAGTTTCTAAATAATACTGTTAGAAGATTACGAGGTATAAATACTTATGTCAGTGGTGCAGATTCTTGTTCAGCTGATTGGTGTTTACAAAGTCTTCAGGGGAGACTGGGAAGAACGCTGATCTTGTTTGTTTTCAGTGATGTATTCGTTCGAAGGAGATTTTCGGCGGAAGCCTCAGCAGAACCTGGCAGGAGCGAGTGCCCAGAGAAAAACTGACAGAGACAGTTTGATTCAACAGTCGCAACAACAAAGGCAGAAACGAGAGGTTAATATTTGGTATATTTGCATTAAATTATACAATTCGTTATTCAGTTTACCCTGAACGACAAACTTATAATATTAATAAAAATCTTTATTAAGTTGAGACAGTTGCATGATATATTAACATTATATCAACTTCTTCCCAAAGTTAGTCCACTCTCCCTTTGTGCATGTGTTGTGTCAATTTATTAAAAAACAATTTGTTTGTGTGATAGTCTCTGTAGGTTCTCTGTCGTTGTAGATTCTCCTCTCAGTGAATTCTGTTGAAATTCGCTAGTCAATTTTTGAGTAAAAACGAGTGTCCCTCAAGTTGACATAGGCGAAATCATTGATTACTTCAATGGTGCCATAACATTTAAAAGATGTATGTCACACCAATAAGCAAGGATCATTTTAAGATTGAACATTTTATCATAGAATTATAAGAAAATTGTATGGCAGATGCTGCGTCTTTCACTGGATTTACTTTACACATAATGCAATAATAACAGTAAACTTTATATAGATGAATAATATGAACTGAATATTCTTCTGAATTAATCATAAAAAAGTTGCTATTGGTGTTTCAAATGAATAAGAAACCTCAATATTACTTATAATTAAACTTGAAGCCTATTGCAATTATAAGCAGAAGGTTGTGGTTTCTTAATGTAATGCCATGCTTTGGTAGAGACCTATTTTCTGCAGTAGACTTTGATGGGCTGTTGATGATTTAACAAGTTATCATCAGGGAGAGTGCAATTACGCGTAACTAGCATTTGATTATGAGTTTTCATTTCAGTATCAGGGTGTAATTTGTGGTTGTCTATGTGTGTGTCCATGGCACCCGCGACACAGGGTTTCCCTAGTGCGGGGCTATGTTGAGTGTGTGCGTTATTTATTTATTTTATTTTATTTAGTAATTTAGTGGCCAAATCAAATCTGCATAAATGTTGTAGCAACCAAATTAGCGTGTTTTACTGGAATCTATAGTTATCAGTCCGCAGACAACATAAATTAATGCTTACTATGCACAAATGAAAGTGATAGCCCTTGAAAAAGGAAAGTAATAACATTAAATCCCTCTCCTGTGGAATTTAGTTCAATGCACATACGCACTTTTTACCAATATTACATACGCAGATTTACAATATCCCCGACGTTATGCCATTACATTAAAAATTACTCACTATTGGTATTTATTAATAACTTAAGGAAAGAAAAAGTGATTTAGGAAAATTTATCAGCATGGTCTAACATATGGGGGATGTCCCAGTTAGAAGATTAGTAATTTATAATGACTATAACATAGCTCATTTATTGTAATTCAGGAACACAGAAGACGCCTTTGCAGTGCTATTAAGATCCAAGCATATGTGAGGAGTTACCTCACAAGGAAACATATTAAGCAGAATGAAAGGGATCAATTTGATAATATCTTCCCTAGAGCTAATTTCGAAGATCAGGAATTGGTCTCTGAGTTGGTTGCTAAACTACTCTTCTTTTATGATGCTGAGATGGATACTTCAAGATTGGTAAGTAACTAGTGCTCCCTTTCTTCGCTCGTCCAAATCCTCGACAAACTTGCAGTGGTTTGCCTTAATAGGTTCAGTAACACAGGCCATGAAATCTCAGCTAATGTTTTAAATCCGATGCCCCAGTCAGCTTTATTTTAGATTTATGTAGATTCACAATAGAACTTCCAGGATGGAGTGAATCTAAAGCTTCTATCTATACCAATAAATAGAACTAGCATAATAGCTGCCACTGTTGTAACCAAAATGAGTAAATAAAAGAAGGAGAAAATAGGAATAAGGCGAAAAATAATAGAATAGTGTCCTTGTCTATACATATAAAAAAGCCGTGGTAGCCTAATGGTTTGACGTATCACCTCACCTCAGCTTTTTGGTGAAAACATTGTTATGAAACCTGTACAAGAATAACCCGCATTGGGCCAGCATGGTGGACTGTGGCCTAAACTCCCGCCTAAGATGATCCCCGTGCCCAGCAGTGGGATTTATAAACAGCTTGATGATGATTATGATCTTTGCCTATAAAAAATCTTTCCTTGTAATCTAATAAAACTAATAGCATTCTTGTTGTAAGGTTTTACCTAAGTGATAGCACTCTGAACTTACATAATATGTTTAATATACGTCGTAAATTAAGATATAGTTGTTACTGTCTCATTTCAGGTTTCTGTGTCACAGTTGTTGCTAAAGCAATGGAAAAAAGTATTTCAAACTATTGGCTCAGCAATACAGATAAGAAGGATGCTCGCTTATCATTTACGCTTATTGAGAAATGAAGAGGTAAACTGTGTAAATATATCAACTCATATTATGACTTTACAGAGTGAGAATATGCAATTTAAATTCATATTTTAATATTTATCTGTTATCTTTTGACCTTCAACATTACATTTTTTTGTCAAAATAGTAAGCTTATTACAATTGCTGTACTTCAATTGTTATACGTAAATTTATATGTAATTGCTATACTGTATTTACATTGTTCAGGTACCCATTGCTGTGCCCCTGAGAATGTTTGAAGTTTTCACATCTACAAGTTCCGCAGAAGCTGCAATGAGTTGTGATGAAGCATTTAACTGCATAGCAAAAACATTTTTGTACCTTGTCAAACGAGGTAAGATTCTACGCAATTGCACTGTTCTACACTGAGTCTTCGAGCCTTCGAGCTCGAAGACTCAGTGATAGTCAACAGGATGAAGCTTAAGAGCATAGGCTCTTTTTCTTGCATGGTCCAAATCTATCTTTCTAATAAATTAATCATTTGTGTTGCGCAATTGCATTTAAATCGACTTGGCTAGAGTATAATACAGAAACATTCACAAAATGTAAACACACACTCACCAGTTTAAAAATCTTAACAAGCAGTTAACAGATTAAACTTACCACACATACTTCCGCAGGATATTTCAATGACCTCCGTGAGTTAATTTGCCAACGAACGCCGCCGCTGTATGGACCATCTCCGAACCCACCCACGCCACTATGTGGAGCCCTGCTCGACCTCATTCACCGGCCACTCAGTCTCACTACCCACGTCAATGTTTACGGCTATGAGTAAGTAATATAAATTAAAACGCTATCTGCGAAAAGCCTTTATAATAAAGATCATGCACTATTGACAAGTTTGTAGTGAATGTTTACTTATGTTGATTTGTAACAATTATTTTTATCAACACTTTTGATACTCAATCTACATTTAGGGGGCTGTGGTAACCTATAATGGTCTGTTGACCAAAGCATAGGCCATAGGTTGGAAACTGGGCTCGCACCTCGAAATTTTGAGATTGTGAGCTTTTCCTTGAAGGAAAAGATCGTGATGAAACCAGCACGTCGAAGAAGGTTCACAAACCTCGGAAATCGTGTAGTCCCCAACCCACACTGGGCCAGAATTCCGTACTATGGCCAAAACCCTCGTCTAAGAGGAGATCCATGCCCAGCAGTGGGTTGTGGTAAATGGGTTGATGATGAGGATGATTAATATACATTTGACTTGTAGTTAACAAGTATGTTGGCTTGTTATTGCAGCGATGTTGTCATGTCGGAGTTTGCATCATCATTCCTCTGTCATCCGTACATTGAGCCTGTGGAAATGTACGTGATCCCGGCTCTAGGACAGAATGCGAAGAAGTTCCCTTTCTTGGCGCTGATACGGGCGTTGCAGGATGAGAACAAGTTTTGTTGCAGAAAATTAAGCAATGACTCCTGGTTACTTCATTCTGTATTGGCTTTAGAACCTCCTGATTTTGGTAAGTTATTTATTTTATAATTCCACTTGACCTAAATTAATTTCACTTCCACTTATTACTTGGCCACTAACAGAGCTGCTTGTCCTCCTAATAAGTCAAAATATGCCTGGTTTACTGTGGCTCTTGTTGGTGAAAGAACCAATGTAAACTGACACCACGCCATAAACAAATGTATGTAACGCGAGCTTTTCCAAAACATGTTCTATATTATATGCAGCTGTTCTTCACTGACCACCAGATTTTATTAATTATAGTACCGGCACGCTATGATGGCCGTTTTGACGTTTGTCCACTCATCAAGTTTCGTATTAATTCATAACTACGTTGAAGGAGCTAATTGCTGTACATTGTTGCCAATAGTGACGTGCAGTAAAATTTATGGAATGTATAATTTTACGACACAACTCAGCATTTGTTTTTCGAAATTCAACATTTAAAAAAATGAAATTAATACGATCGTCACTTATATGATCGCTGTCCAGCACTAGTTGTAGAACTCTGCAAACTCGCGACAAAGCTCATTGCCAAACAAACCAGCTTCGAATTGACGATATATTAAGTAAAAAATTTTAATTTCGTTTTATTACAACTTTTTAATCAGCTACACTTGCAATACTAGTAAAATATTAATAAATCTAAAAACTTAAAGATGCTATTCGCATTTCATTATATTGTTTTCGATAATGAATTGAGATTTGACCACACTATTATAATCTGTCAAAACGGCCATCATAGCGTGCAAGTACTGTTTACAATTCATGTTTAACTCTGTTTTAGCCAACGAAATCCGAAACTTGAACAACATAAGACTGCCAAACAATCCTATAGCGTTAGAATACCTCAAAATTATAGCTAAGTTAACAGTAAATGTGTGTAATAAACAAATAAACTACGAATACGAAGACTCGTTATACAGTCAAGAGACAGCGGCGGATAAAGACGATGATAGTGACACTGAGACTGAACCAAACCCGACATCAGTGAGGGAACAAATGTTACTAACTAGATGTATAGAAATACTAAATGAACCGGATCATTGTATAATGGTCACGTGCGCTCAAATTACAGAGAATGATTTGAGCGATGAATTTTTGGACTGCTTGTCGGAGATATGTCACAATTTATTATTGAGCCATCGAATGGCTTTGCATAAGTACAGGTGAGATTATGTTTATTTATATATTGAATAAATTTCTTTTGTTTTCACCCATTTATTAAATGGTATTGCACAACCTTGGCTCTGCTACGCAACTGTTGGTCATATAGTGGGCTTTTGCGTGACTGGCTAACATACGCAATAAATAAGTGACTTAATCTAAAGCCACTGTGATTTGTGGACGTAATTTTTTTTTATGATACTAAATGACAAACAAGTGCGCTTGATGATAAGCGATACGCCTGTCCAGTTACAGTGCCACTCAGAGCATTAAATCGCATCGCTTTTAAATCTGTATAAAGCACAAGTTAGATCGTGTATGGAGTACTGCTGCCACCTTTGGGACGGCTCTGCCCAGTACCAATTAGCTGCCTTGGAGTCGGTGGTGGAGCGAAAAGCAAAGAGACTTATTAACAACAATTCTCTTGTGGAGTCGAAGCTACAAAATCTCGATCATTGCAGAAAAGTAGCCCGCTTGTCGGCTTTCTATCCACTCTCACCGTTCCTCCTTCGGTCGACTAGAAGATCCGGAACACTCCATCCTTATGTCGTTAATATACCACCAATTCGCACAAAGCGCTTTGCTCCCTCCTTTCTGATGCGTGCGGCAATGGAGTGGAATACTCTACCGGGATCTGTGTTTCCCGAAACGTACAATTTGGGGAGATTCAAGGCTAGAGTGAATAGACATTGTCGGTCACATCGTAGATTGTGGCCAAGCTTGTGTCTATTATATATATATAAAAAGATGTATGGACATTGCCACTGCGCTCATCACCCTGAGACATAAATTGAAAAGTCCCATGTGCCTGTAATTTCACCAGCATCTTTACCCTTCAAAACCGGAACTCAGTAATGCTCACACTACTGCTTGGCGGCAGAAATAAGTAAGGTGGCAGCACTTCCTTGGACAAACTCTTTCACTAGGAACTCTACTGCTACTAAATTTTGCAAACCGTAATGAATTTTTGTTTTTTATCTTTAACATCGTCATAGACTTTGTTTTCTTCGATACTTTTACACTATAATCCACACAAAACGAACTGTTGTGTGTCTCTTCCAATTCCTAGCTCGACATAACTTTTTGTTTCCATTGAAGAGCAGAAAATGTTTTACCATAAATATTTTTATGTGTCTGCTGAAGAATAGCCTGAGCGTCGAGCAATCGACAACTCCTGAGAATACCTGAGAATACAGAGACTAAACTTTGTCGAGTATATTTTTGGTGATAGCGTCTGTGATTGTAGTTGCGTTTGTGTTATTTATTTTATTAATTTTACGGGTGGGGAAATTAACTGTACGAAAAATATTCTACACAAGCGCAGCTATTTTGCACGATTTAACCGTCATTGGGTTCGCGGAGTAGCAAAGTAATTCACTTCCATTTTTATTAACACTGTATTTCCGCAACGTAACGCCAATTATTTTTAACCGACTTCAAAAACAGGAGAGAGGTTCTCAATTCAACTGTATTTTTTACTCAGATATTTGTCAACCGATTTCAATGATCCTTTTTTTGTTGAAAGGAGGCAATTCGAAAAAAAAATCCACCTCTATGGTGGCAAATTAGGGTTTATTGGATTTCACCCACTTTCCGTTAACCGATTTGAATAAAACTTGGCAAATAGATGTAATTCAACAAACTTTTGAGTTCGGGTAATTTTTTTTATAAAAAAGTTATAATTATTATGTTTCAGATTATTATACACTCTGGCGTTTAAACCAGTTTTTCTACGTGGTCTATGGAGATGGCTAAGTAACATGACGTACGAGTCCTCATTCGGCGGATCCGCCACTCCGCTGATATCCGCGTTATCACGAGGCTTAGGGGCTGAGGCTTCTGTACTAGGAGTGCATAGGCTACTAGCACCATTGGCTGTCTTCTGTGCACTGTTCTCATTGTTGATTGGGACGCTACACGATACAGAGTTCTGTAGAGATACCGATGAGGATGAAAAGATGAGTCGTGAGTATAATTTTTTTATAAGATTTTCGTTGTAAAGTTTTTTTCTTATACTGAAAGTAATGACAAACTGAAAAAATTGTAGGCTGTTGTTTTATTTGTCCTTGCTTTACATCGCGTGAAAGAAACATCTCGTCAACGAGGTCTTCCTCTTGAGAGAGTTTCTTCTTGTCCATAATATGTCCAAATGCGTATCGGACAGTCCATGATCAATTGAGATAATGTTAATTTATAATAGTTGTTATTTTGATGATCTCGGCGGCCCAACAGGTTGCAACAATTTGGGAAATTAGCTTTTCGAAATTAGTTCCGTTCTGAATAGTTACCCGGAATGAATTATATTTGAAAGCAATTATGGTGTTCTTGTCTGGTACATTACCATAATTATTATTTCGAATACATATCTAATAGTGCCCTATCTTAAAAGCACCGGATTCATCAGAAAGATTGTTTAAAATAAACTAAGTCATATGCTGCCGCGCAAAGTTGACTAATCATGTATTTGTTTTTACGATAAGCTTGACGCCCCATTCAAATTACAATTTGGCATTTTCTTATAAAGTAATAAGTAAAAAAGAACTGTTTTAGATTGGACCACCATTCTTGAAAAGCAGCTATGTCAATTGAGTAGCGTCGAAACGAAAACCAATAAATCTCATTTTGGCATATTTATTTTTAAATATGGTAATATATTGTTTTTGTACATGTTTTTTACCGTAATCAATCGAACCAGTTCAATAAGCGCTTCAAATACCTGCCAGAAATGCATGATGTAAACATAAACCTATAAATTTGATGAAAACACCGATAATGCCTTATTAATATGTAGATCGCACCGAACAGATATATCACTATTAATTTAAGCCTTTTTAGTATCCATATAGACTGATCAAAAACCGAGATAACTTTATTTTGTTTTCTTTTTTTAATCTCGACAAATACTGCACACGGTATATTTAGGTTACGAGACAGTGTTAGTAATGCTAAAAAATTGGCATACTTCATTCAACTTTAATTTAGTAAACAATAGACTTAATTTTTTTTTTCATAGTCCGAAATAATTGTCGTAATTGTTTTATCGGTTTTTGTTCTGACGCTCCTCTTCAAAGTCTTAGTTAAACTTCTTTTTTCAGTGACAAGTGTAACCGGTGGCACAACAGGGACGGGTGGTCGCGTTCACGCATTCGAGTTCTCAGAACTGGGCGGTCTGTGCCGCACGCTGCGTCAGGTGTGCCTTGGCCTCGTTGAGCTTGCGTACCCCGAAACGCGGCCCGCTGTGTGTGGACAGTATAAAGACGCGGTTGGGAATTCGCAGATAGAGCTGTCGGGGAAGAATCGAACGCCTGCGTGGTCGCATTTATTCAAGGTTTGTGAAAAGATTGCTCAATCTTATGATTATTGGTATAATATTTTAAGTAGCAGTAGAGCTCCTTGTGAAAGAGTTCGTCCAGGAAAATACTGGCACGCGGAATTGTCATCTTAGGTCTCAGGATGACGGGCGAAGTGGGGGGCACTGCAAACCTTTGGTGATTTAAACCTCTGAGTGGCACTACAACTGTTATAGCCAGACGTGTCGCTTACCACCATGCGCACGACTTGTTCGTCTCGTCATTTGGTATCATAAAAAAAGTATAGTATAGCAATCGAATTTCGGGGAAAATATTGAAATTGTGAAATATTCGAATATCATATGTTTTTAATTCTTGTTAATTGATTATAAAAATATGTATAACCTTGCGAAAGCGCTGGTAGCCTTGTGACGACATCTCAATTTACGATTTATTTTAACGATACGATTTATTTTAACGAATCCTAGTGGCATATACCTAAGATTTTAGGCGCACATCCCAAGCTACGCATTTTAGTGAATGTTTATTAGCGGTAACACTCGCCGACTGTGAGGAAAACATCCAAACCCTTGGAAAACGTGTGAGTCCCCAACCCGCTTTGGGCCAGACTGGCAGGCTATATATAATCTAAACCAGGGGTGCCCAAACGTTTTTGTCTGGTGGACCACATGCCAATTTTTTCGGTTTTTTAAAATTTTTCACATATCCATCAATTTCAGCTGTGTTTGATAGCTTACACAGTGCTAGTAAGAAGCATTATAAATAAAATTATCGTATTCGTATTATTCGTTTAAAGAAGATTTATAATTTTTTTTAAACAAATATCTTGTACTTTATGAATTGTTTAAGAATTTAGCTAGGTAATTTATATGTCTTTATTATATGTATTTATTTATTATAAAATAATGTCTATGGTTACCCATTAAGGTTTCATACACCCACTGTTTTTTTTCGTTTAAATTTTTTCTGACACTTTGGGAATCATCGGTCGAAAACCTCTCATTGGGAAACCCATGCCAAGCAGTGGGGCGTAAAACGTTTGATGGTAAACAACCTGATGAAATACCGTCGCCGATTTAAAGGTTGTAGTCCTTACCTGACCTCGGCGAAGCCAAAGAAGGGTAGCATTTTACGCCTTTGACTTCTCGAAGAGTTTGCTTATTCAGTTTGTTGAATACTATTTTCAAAATATCGAACGGATCCAATCAGAATTACATCGATGTAATGGATAGTTATTATCTGCTGGTATATACAATTGTGCATGTCAATCTGTTATGTGAATCATAGTATAAGCATGCAGTGTTACTAGTAACTATATGAATGACTTACCAGTTATAACCTTTGGACGCTGTGATGTTTGAAAGTGGTACGTGTGAATAGAGTCTTAGTTCCAATTATTGTTACTTCTATAGCAGATAAATAGGCCGGTGTGGTTTCCATTAAAATATATTTTTTTAGTAACCTTGACAATTTGCGGTAAAGGTATGCACGCATCTGCTGCGCGCGCTGTACGTGCGCGACTCGCGGCTGCAGTTCTGCGCGGGCTGGCAGTGGCCGGTCGCAGGTGCCGTGCCGGAGGGCGCCGCAGCCGTAGCCATTGTGGCCGGCACGCACGTGCGCCCCAACCCCCGGCAGCTGCGTCGTCCTCCTAACCTCTCTGCGGCAATGGCGCTCTCGCATGGTGAGTTCGGTATTTCTTTCATTAGTAAACAAATTATACTTGGAAAGAGCAAGACACTCGATGAAGTTTCATCATCATCATCAAAACATGTATCCTTTATTTGACAACAAACTATTTTTGGGATCTTAATCATGTATATTTGTTTTTTTTCGAACAAAACAATGTTCAGACCCTGAACAGGTCAGTGGTCAACTGAGCTCCATGAACCATGAACCTGTAAAGTGCCCGAAACGTTGGTGATTAAAAAAACAAATATACGCGATTGAACCGAAAAATAGTTTCGTTTCCTATTTTGTACTACATTTCCATAAAACATTATTTTTGATAGAATATAACATTATATAACGGGAGCAATTCCTCTGTGCATCTATATATTTTTATTTACAGACGAAGGCCCTCCACTAACTATCAAAGAATTGCGAACTGTAACAATACTGAGAGAAATACCTTTCGTTGTTCCTTTTTCGACGCGAGTGCTCATCTTCCAAGGACTTCTTGTTAGGTAAGTTTTAATTTATAACCAGTGACCGGAATTTAGGGTTTACCTAAAGTACGAACATACTTTTTCTTAGTATGGACATACCCATTTCGTCGTCAATGTGTATAAATTTCTTTATTTCTTATTTATTTTCTAAACAGTCCAAAATATAGGTTGTCCCACATTTATTTTTTAAGTGACTAAAGTATTTAAATACCTATAGAAACAACTACAATATTACTTTTTGATACTATGATTTTTAGAAAATACTTAATTGGAAATAATAATTGGTCGCCAATGTACTCAAATTTCAATAAATCATACGCATATTTAAATATAATCAGGTCAGAGAAGTGCCGGGATTTGTAGAAGGGAATGTCCACATTATTCTTTAGTTTAACTAAATTAACTCCCTCATATGTATGTGAGATTAGTCACGTTTGTGTGGTAAATAAATATGTAATTATTATATTTAAGGGAAAAACACGACCATTGGTATGAGTTTACTAACTTCAACGAGGGTCCTTCGATAAACATTAGCGTTCGACGGACGCATTTGTATGAAGACGCCTTTGATAAACTTAGTCCGGATAATGGTAAGCATTAAAATTTTGCCACTCAATCAGAGCTGGGCAGTGAGTAAAAACCCAATCAACCCGCCCGGGTTTTGCAAATGGTATTTATTCAAATTATTAATATGTATCTTTACTATTTCAGAGCCCGATTTAAAGCTAAAACTACGTGTACAATTAATTAATCAAGCGGGCGCCGAGGAAGCCGGCGTAGACGGTGGTGGACTGTTTAGGGAATTTCTATCGGAGTTATTGAAGTAAGTGTGGATTTATTTTTAGAACATTGACTATACACCCATCAACAGCTGATAATAAGTAATTAAGAAACTCAAAACGCTTAAACTAAAACGCTCAAACACTTAAACAAAAAATTTATTCGTGTAAAACTTGTAACTATAACAACCTGACATTTTTTTGTTTTTTTTTTAGCAAGTTTTTTTTTGCAACATATGAAAATGGTTTTATATAAAAAACGGCTAAAAGCGTGTCGGACACTCTTATGTACGGTCGTTAAGTAATTCATTTTATTCATTGTTTCACATTATCCTATTTCTTGTGGATTTATAACAATTATTGGAGTAGTATCAAAATAAGTTTTTCACTTGTCATGCTCTTAAAGTTCGTATTTATGCTGGGTGTAGGCTGCAATAATACGATTATATAATATATAATATTATATAATATATAATAATAGAGCATAAAATACGATTTTATGCTCTAGTGTATAAAATAAAATCGTCGTTTAAGACCGAGGCAATGACGCCTGCACCAACAGTCACGCACACTAGAACTTTATTACGTTGTTAGTATTTTACAAATAACCCTGTATTTCATTGACTTACCAACAAATGGACATCGGGTTCGCGCTAAAAAGTCCGCACTTATAGGGCGTTAAATTCGCATACAGAGCGTCAATCTCACAACAGTCTTCGTTTGTTCGACTGACAGCGCGGTTGTCAATCATGCAGTACTATATAATAATGATAACATGTAAAAATTACTACAGTAAAGTGTAAAAACAGTATTTAATATCATACTTTCACTAAACAAATGTATTGTGTTGTCATAGTTATCATTTAAAAGTCTTATAGTATTTAATTTATATATAAATGAATCGTAAATATAAATTACACAAGCAAACAATGTACTCATGTAGCTAACTGTTCTTTTTCTACACATTGCATGCGCAAAAGATGGAAAGAGACCCATTACGTCAATTTCAAGAATATTATTTAAATATTTATATAAACTTCTTGGTCATTTTCAATTGTTCGAACCATAAACGATTGAAATATTTAGAACAAAGAAACTATAGAGTCGCTTTGATTTTGATCTTATTTTTAAAATGATTTTTTATTATACGTTAGTAATAACTAACAAAATATTGTTGTACTCGTTTTACGGCTTGGGATTACCTATGAGAAGTCAGAAAATACGTTTGTCCCAAATAACGTTGGATCGAATTTTCGTTATGTCAAATGTATTTTTTAAGGAATATCACAAAACAAAAGCTAATTCTGTCTATGTAAAAAGCATCAAAATTACTTTAAGCGTAACAGTTTTTGAATTACAGATATTTGAGTTTACGTTTAGTTGGAATATCGGTACATTTCTTATAGTACACGCTTATTTTCACATTTGTAATATTTGTATGTATGTATCTGCCCAACTTTTTATTATTTCTTTAAGTGGATTTGTACAAAATTCGACATAATAATAATTATTAAAAAATTTCTATAAATATTTATCATTAAAAATTAATTCATATTTACAGTAAAGACTGCTCCATTACTCTTGTGTTCAAGTTATTTTCAGTCGAAGCTAGATATGGTGCATTTTGTTAACTTTCCAGTAGAATTGTTGCAAGCAAAATTAGGCAGTACTGCAATGACGTTAAATTAAATGTTTTAGTTTTTATAAATTTCGTTACATGTCACGTGTGTATAGGTTCACTTCGGACATTTTTTCCGTGGTTTTTGTATTAGACCCGACGTCTATTTGTTGGTAGGTCAACGCTGTATGTGATTAAAAAAATAATTTAAATGTTACATGAAATAACAAATAATTAGGGATATATTCGATAAATAATGCTGATAAAAAATGCTTTCCATATTAGCAGCCAACCGAATTGGAAGTAAATAAGCTATCCGATTATCCGACCACTAATTACTGTAGTTGCTTGTTTATTATTTATGCCTTACCGTTCATACATATTGTCCTTTACAGATCGGCATTCGACCCAAACCGAGGTTTGTTTAGACTAACAAAGGACAATATGCTGTACCCGAATCCTGGCGTGCATTTATTATACGACGATTTTCCCATGCACTACTATTTTATAGGCAGGATGTTGGGAAAGGTAATTATAAACTTTTTCAAGTTTATACTGTCACCTTGAGGTTAATAATAATAATAATGTTTTATTTATAAATCAGTAATATATTGGTTATAATATTTTTATAAGTCGAGGTTATACAATAACAAGATTATACTGCCTTCAAAACTAGGGAATCCTGTATTTTAGGCAGAATTCGACTTTGGGAAAGGTTACCTGGATGAAATTGCTAAGGTCGCCCTGTTGTACTCTGTCTTGTTTGTTTATGTATTGTTAGAATTTAAATTTCTCCGATATGCATGTCATGACGATGTTTTCCGTTTTCATTTAAGAGCCCTCATGCTAAAAAAGTTTTGACGGTAGCTCCACCCACACTCCCCGCTACCCGCACCTATCATTCGCCGCCCGCTACCCGTACGTCGCAGCGCAAACCGTTCAAAAGTAATTTTGGCGCGCTTATCGTCGACTCGTAAACAGTGAATCCATAGAGCCGTATTCGACTACTTAAAATTTTTATTACACTTCTTTATTCAAATAAATGTATTACGTATTTAAATATCTAACCCTAATTCTAAAGTACAATTTGAATAAAACGAGTTAATACACCGCTAAATTTTAAATTTATTTATTTGCAAATTTTACAGATTTTAAATTTGGTTTACAATTCTGAATAATGTACTTACATAGCCAATTACACAGTTTATCAGATTAAAATTTATTTTTTCACGTTATATAAAAACTAATTCCATGCCAGAACGAAGCGACATAAAATATTGTCTATTAAAGAACAATGTAACAAATTGAAATATATATTGATAACATATTATAACTGAATTCCGTTGTATTAATAGATTTAGACATTGATTCTTAATTACTATATTTTTTAAATGAAGCGACTTATTATATAATAAACAAATGGACTATGGTAGAGTGTGTGCATTTGTGTATCTACATATGTGAAGGTGTATGTGCATATGTGTGAATGTGTGTATGTCTATGTAAATATCTGACAAATTTCTGCAAGAGTTTTAATTTTTTTTGATAGTTTTTTTTAATTCTTCTAGGGAAGCCAAACGACCAGGCTGAAATAATTCATTTCGTTGTTGTTTTCAATTAAAATACAAATTGATAGAAGCCATGCAAAAAATGTCAACCTATTAGCATATTAAAGTAGGCTAGGTTCAATGTAAACATTGAAGAAAAGGAAGAGAAAATATGTTCTACAATTTACTTTAGTACAATTTAACAAGTAGTATTTCTCAATTTAAAATCTTTAATTTGCCAAGAGCCCAGGCCCATGCATATGGACAAATTTATATATTAACGGTGATAATTTTTTGATAATTTACCTTTAATGCAACGTTTCATATGCTTAGGAGGCAGTTTTTTAGAGAATCGCTTTCCCTTGTCACTCGATAATAAGTTTTTCACCGAAAAATATCACCAACATTAAAGTCATACTTTTTACGACGAAGATTATAAGGACCACAATTCAATTTCTATCATGCGACTTTATTAAAGAACTTTGTACATGATCGAAATTTTCTCTAAGTTTACCGGTGTTTTCCGCATATTCGTCTCTAGGCGCAAAAAAATCTTCGGATTGGTCGATATCAAGATTGTGGGAACCACAAGCTACCAATTCTCTCCAGATGTGATGTTACTAACAGCAATATTGAGAGCGAATTGATTTTTTTTCTTGTCTATGAACGTGGAGACAGCTGCCGTGATGGTTTTGTTATAATGCTCAACAGAGTTTACGTATGGAGTATATTTGTGCGTAAAATATACATTAGGGCTGTTGTATCTCTAGTATTCGGAAAAAAAAATGTCTTTGATGTTCCACTAATTCCCATATTCTTACGAATTGTAAACAACCACACGAAATAGTATGGCTTTAAACATGGAAAGAAAAGCATTCGGACTCCAGAGTGTCCAATTTGTGATTAAAAAAATCTCACCATAAAAGTAAATAATTTGTATTGGAGAATCGGTAACACTCTTTGCACTAGATTTTCGGAACGTTACAAAGAATCAGACTGGAACGAATGACTTCATTTTATAACTAACTTCTCAACTAGAGATTCAGGGTCTTAAATCTTGGGAATTGGTCCATATTCGAAGTTTGAAGTGAAAACTGCGGTTATAATTTCATAAACCATATCACAAAGGGGCTCTTTTTAGTTTTAACCAAAATTCTATTGTCTATGGTACTCGCTACTGTTCATTATAGTTCTGCACACAGAATTATAATGAATCTGTCGTTTTTCTGCTTCAGCGCCATTTCATTATATCCAAAATTTCTTGAATTCGTTTCTGGACAGATATTTTCTTTGTCTTTGTCACCCTGACCTGTGATTATAAGTGCCTAAAAACCATAATGCTTATTGTTTATAATATAAAACGACGAAGCTAGGAACATAATGAAAATAATATAACTATTGAAAATGCATAATAAATACATACACTTGGTAAATTCTCAAAGGCAGACTGCTGCGCAAATACCCAGACCGATCCAGGCCGACCTCATACTGTCCCAATTAAAAAAACACACTGTAGGGGTATACTGTCCCCTTACTCCCCTTATTTTTGAAATCAAGTGTTTCACGTGCAAGCTGCAAAATTAAGCAAGGCTCAAATTGTCGGCTTCAATTCGGGCACGTTCCATTAAGAGGCAGCAGAGGAAAAATAAATCTATTTATTTAAGTAAATTTTGTGGAAAATTCAGTTTCCAGAATATATCGGAAATAAAGCATGAAAATGAAATAAAAATTCGTAAGTTGTGAGTGCGCTTATGCACACGAAAATAATATTTTTTATGGTACCGTTATACATAGGTAGGTAATTCACAAACTTCGACAATTAACCATCAATATTGATAATTTACGATGACGATTAAACAGCCTAACCGCAAATTCTGTCAACGACCTCACGTCTCAACGGAGTTATAGTGACTAATTTGTGAAACAATTATGTGCATGAAGTTCCCGTGACATGCGACAGGAGATGTTGTCTTTTGCGCATTAAAATGTCGTAAGTGCTAAATTCGTTTTAGCGGAATAACTCTGAAACTAAAGGGATTTATAAAAATCCGTAACGACAGTAGTCGATCATGCATAAATATAATTAATTATCAAAATTTTGTCCTAATAACCCGTAGCATTTCGAGAATAAATCGAAAAAATGTGAAAATTGTGTTTTCGTGATTTTTATCTTTCGAGAAAACTTTATTGTTTTATGTTTCTGATTAAAGTCTGTGTATATCGTGTAGTTACTCGTACAATATTTTATTTTTAACTTTAAAGTGGATTTACCCCTCTAAAGTCAAATCGAAGATTAGGAATTTTTCCTCTGCTCCCACTTAAAAATAATGGCAAATAACTGTTCAAGTCATATTAGTGTGTTTACAAAATTAAGTAAATTGCTTTTTTAATTTACTTAACGTGCTAGTGTTTAATACCTAATTTCCGTGGCAATTTTTATTATTTCAGTGCTCGATTTTTTATCGTACAATATTATTTAATATTCGAGTATTGTATCGTGAAAAATTTATTTAATTATTACACGATAATATACTTGAATATTTGAATAAAAAAAGTTGCCACGGAAATTAGGTAATGAAAAGTAGTGGGAACAGTAGTCCGACAATGACCGTTTATTTTTATTTTTTATGAAAAGAGCTGAAGAAGAGGAATTTGGTAAAAATTCGCAAATGTACGTAACTTAGAAATTAGTGTCGTAAGTAACATGACGCCACAAGGGCTCGTACTGTCGGCGTCGCGAGTGAGAAGCAACCTTTATATTAAGCTATCATCGTTCTCGGTGATGAAGTCGTTTTTTAAATGCAAACTTATTTTTTTAGATTAAAGTTCTACACAGATTCTGTCTATTTCAGGCATTATACGAGAATCTCCTAGTAGAGTTACCCCTAGCAGAATTTTTCCTCGGCAAGCTATGTTCGTCGAGGGAGCCAGATGTCCACGCCCTCGCGTCTCTCGACCCTGCCCTTTACAGAGGGCTGCTGATGCTCAAATCGCACAGAAGACAGGATGTCCCGGACTTAGGTCTGGACTTTACGATAGTCAGTGATGAACTTGGCGAACAACGGGTAAGAATATTGTGGATACGAAAAGTGGAAAAACCAAACACGACCAGAACCAAAATTAAAATTATACAGCAGTAGCCCAAATTCAATGGCAATAATTTTTTTTCATAAATTTAACGACAATGAAAAAATAAACAATGTAATAAAAAAAAGGCAATTTCTCCTAATTAAATAATTTTAGTGATTGGAAGAACGTTTTAATGATCAATTTTTTTATATCATAAAATTGATAGATTCATAATAAACTAGCATAGATTAAAGTATCCACCTGCCTCTGTCTCACGACACTGCTACGCCCTTCAGGGTTTCAAATGATTGATTTAATTTAAGGCAGCACATCAAGGTACACATTGACGGATCTTGTCATATTGCACTGGAAGCGATATTTAAACTTGTATAGCTTGATGTGCTGTTACGCGGTACATAGAATTATTAAGGATTACCTACACGTGAATTGCAATAAATAAATACGATATTGGTTATAATCGTTTGTTATGAACTTGCAAATACAGGTGTTAGGTAATGAGACAAACTAAAAAAGGAGGTACTTTGATATTGCAAATAAGATATCATATTCCTATGTAAAATTGCGTCATTGGCTGGATGATGTGTATGGAATTTTGTATTGAAATTTTAGCTACTGTTCTGTATGTAGTACGTTAACTAAC